CTTTCCGAACAGACTTGTATTACCAGATGTGGGAGTGCTCTGGAAACAATCCGATAACTGAAAACTGCTCTGATACAGTCAGCCCAGTCACTGATCCTGTCATAAAACAAGAGGTTTGACTGATGCACTCTAAGAGAAGTCTCAGTACTGCATCATAACTGCACCAGTAGCTGCAGTTTTGAGAGCCCTAAAGTCACAAAAACTCTCCAAGGAGGCTTGCTCTCAGCCACCTGTATGCAGACTTGCAAGGAAAAGAAACCACAGCTAGACAGTGGAAGGTGGCAGCAAGACACACCACAAAGCCTCACAAGACCTACACCCCGAAAGCAGGGTTAACATTGTTCGTGTTCATATTAATCTGTCTGAAATTGATCCCGTTTAAAACCTCAGCAATCTTTTCTAAAAAACTGCTTGGGGGAAAACTGTGAAGAATGCAAGTCTCTCTCAGCCCATGGCAACAAGCCCAATGGCACTAGGCAGCAAAAGAAAGTGTGCAGATTACCCAGTAGAGCCTGTTTATGAAGAACAGATCACAGCAGGTTAAGTGCAGCATGGAAAGGGAATGGCATTTATGCAAAATACAGCATAACAGCAAAAAGGAGAGAGCAAGTCTTGGGAACAGAAAATGGTATTAGTCATGTCCAACTTTGCACAGCAGTACATGACCTAAGTTATACGATTAATCAAATTACTCATATCAAATAAACATTCTTATGTTGTGAATAACTCAAATTTTATCTGCATGCTTATATAACTGTGAGCTAAGTGCAGAGAGCTTTTGTTATAGGAAGTAATATTCCACACTCACACTGAAATATAAAGAAATAGCAACTCATGAGCTCTGCTCCCATTTACAGTCATCCCATCATGCCTGAAATGCCACCACCTCTTCCACGCTGCAAATCCATGATGCATTTTTAACATGTGTAAGCAAGACTAAAAAGGCATTTGATAAGATCTTTGCTATACACAAATTCCCAGAATAAGGGAAGCAACAGACATGGCGCATAGAAACAGTTATGAAAACCAGTGAATTGACAGGTGCCTGCTGCTCTTCATGCAGTACACAAAACCCATTATAACTAGCCATGCCTAGGAGAACTGGCCATCCAAGCAATAAAACTGGTGGCAACTCTTTTTTTTCTGTATAGATTTTACAGACAGTTAAAAAAGACAGATTACACAAGTATTTAAGACGCACACAGAGGACATCTCTCTAGCGCAGGGTTTATATGCAAACCAAATCAAGGTCTTTGCTTTCAGACCCTCCTCCCTTTCACTCTTGTTACCACATCTAACCGTTGGGTCTCAGCGCCAGTTGCCTTGCAGGGAGGCAGGAAGAAGTAAGGCAAGCATGGTCTCCCCTCTACAGCCACGGCCCCATGCAGCACATGCTGCCAGTCACAGAACAGCAGAGTAGCTATGTTCTCCTTACCACCCCACCACCCCTTACCATCCAATTTGCAGTAGTCCAGCCCCCAAGTCACAGTTTTGTACTGCATACAATTCCAGGAGCTACAAATGGCAGACTTGAGCTGCTTTCAGAGGAACAGCCTCACTTAGTGTTGCTTTCAGAGTTTGCCCATAGTGACTGCAATTCAGTTTCTAATCAAGAGGATTATAAAACACAAAAGCAACAGTTCAATCTAAGATCACGTAAGTTCTGTGAACAGTTACCACTACCAAATGCAGCTCCCAAACTTGCACTGTTCATGTTTTTCAGGCCTGCAAAACTTTCAGGAATTTCCAACAATTACCTAAACAAAACACAGATCTTTTGAAGTATGATGGCAAGGAGGAAGACATGGGCCTTAACACCTACTGTGTATGCATCTATAAAAAGGCTCTGCTCAAGACCTGAAAGCAAGTCAACCACATCTTGAGTAAGTGCTATAACGATTAAGACATTTGATATAATAAATATGTGCATGCATCCTGTTTCTCCTCTGATCAGAACTTTTCTTCTACCCAATTCCCTAAATAACAGTTACACAGAAGGGGGGAAAAGTTGTTGAAAAAAATTTCCCTAGCCAATTCTATGTACAGGGTATATCCAGAAGTGTATGCATCTGCTTAGATTCTTGTTGGGGTGGGGATTCAAGGTTGAAGAGCATGGTGGGTATTTCTCCTAAAAACTTTGCTGAGAGATACTGCTCTGTTATGGACTTCTGAGCTGAGATTTTGGATTTTGGATGGAACAGCTTTCTGGGTACTGAACTAGGATAAACTAGTAACAGTTCAGAGCTGACTTCAGTAAGGCCTCAGGGACTTCAAGAACTGGCTTACACAGCTTCCCTGCAGAGCAGAATCTGGGTGGGGGGGGGGCAATTCTCTGTGCAGGAGATGCAGTATCCAAACCACCTCTGCCAAATGAGATCTATTTGTGAGTTTCTGGGCACAAAAAATGTTCAGACTGTTCACTAAAATTCTAATTCTTATACATCCTTTAAAAAAACCAAAAGTTTAATTAATTTGGATCAGAAGACAAATGAAATACTTGTCTCAAATGTAGTTTGAAACCAGCTAGCTTCCTCAGATATTGTTTTTCATTCATATCTTATGCAGGGATAATGACCTTAAATGCTGCAATATAAATAACTCAGTTGGTTCCTGAGGTACGTGGAACATGGGGTATTTTTTACAATCCAAGGAATGATATGAATTTCAGTTCCAGCTACAAAGGGATCAGAGGCTTCCTTCATCATGCCAGGTAAAACAAAAGCATTTTAGTGTTCACAGATAGGACTGAACGGAGGAAAAATGTGAAATATTGCTTGGCTGCCAGCTGAAAACACACATTTTTTGTAAGCAGTTTCATGCTGCCCCTTCACTGGCAACCCATGCTGGCCAGGGAACATGCAGAAAAGAGGTCCAGCAACTGCTCTGCAATCTAGACTCTGGTACCAACCTTCCAAATAAACCTTTCTGAAACAAAGCTTTATCAACTGCACTCCCAGTCCAGCTTATTAGGATAAAAGTTTCACCTGTACCTCCTACTTTTTTCTCCAAGAAATTGATAGACAGCTATCAACTGTTGATAGACCTTAGAAAGTCAGCTTTCCTTCCCTCTTTTTTTTTGAACTATGAAGTTTCACATGGAACACTTAGTTGGCCCACTATACTAGGTTTTTTAAGTATTCCTCTCCAGTGCCAACATAACCTGAGTAGCTCTACACAAAATCAAGTTTCAACAATTGAGAGTGCAGTTAGTCTGCAAGAAACTGCAGACATCTTCTCTCTTATCCTCACCTTCCCAAGATGGTCTACACTGTACACAAATATGATGCTGCTCCAAAGAAGTATGCAAAGTTGGTAGAATGGATAAAACCTTTTCAACTTCACCATTAAAAAACAAAAACAAAGCAAAAACACTCCCACGTATCAGTTAATGGGAGGGTAAAGCTGACAGGGGGAATAAACATATTTGGTGGGTTATCACAAAAAAATAATCTTTCCTCTCTTCCCCCAGGCATCACAAAGTGTTTGAACCAATCCCAAAGCTTTTTGTCTTTCTCATCTTTTTGAAGCCAATATTGATTATATTTTGGATTTATTTTTTTTACCTTCAAAAGACATTGCAAACAATAACTAATGAATCCCAAAATTTCTCTGAGGAACAAGATCTCTAGAGCAGTGCTAGATATAGGGAAGCTAAGGCAAAGAAAAAAGTTGTGATTTACCTAAGTTCACAAAGTAGAGGTCATCAGAGTTGCAAGATTTTGGCTTTTGAGATGTATGCCAAACTGAGCAGCCAGCATACTCCCTCCTACCTGTCAAAGGACTGTACAAGCCATTTTTAACACCCAGTTCAGTTATCACTGAGACACTACTCAATATGCTAGTAGTAACAAAACCAAGTATCACTCTTCATTTCCATCCTGCCTTGGCAAACTACTCTTCCTCTCAAAATCTCCTTCATGAGGGCTTTCTTTTTACCATAACTACTTCAACTTCTCTGGAATTCTGTAGAACCTCTCCCAGTCCAACTATTTCTGAAGGAAGCTCAGTGACCAGGACTGACTATTAATTTTTCACAGATATTAAAGGCTTACAAATCATAAGTCTCCTCTGCTACCCCTGCCTAAGATAAATGCTTCTCAAGAAAAGCAGCATTATGAAACACTCTCCAATCCCAGCACATCATTTAGTTACAGCAAGGGAAGAATCAAAAGCCCAAAGAAAGCAGTCTCTGCCATATCCCAAACCACAACAGGGCATGGAACAAGAAACAGGAGTCTGTCACTAACAAGTAGCCTGCAGAAGGAAGAGGTTCAAAACACTACTCTTTTTTTGCTGGGATAGAAACACAGGAAACAGCAGAAGCAGTTTGGTCTACCTTGTTCTGTGTGAGCCACAGCTCTCTTTGTAGCTCATCTTCAGGGAAAAACTGACATCCCCTGCAACTTGTTCTTATTTCTGTGCTATGCTGGAGGTTGATGCCCTTTGTTTCTGTGCTACACTGGAGCTGGATGTCATTACGTATGTATGCATCTTAAGGTATGGTGATTGAATCAAAGCTTACAGCTGCTTAAACAAGACCCCAGCATTCAACACTTACCTGAGTAACTGAGCGTGTGCAACCATGATGCTATACACCGCTTGGTTCATGTCTTAACAGTGAATCTCCTGCAGCTACTGGGAGCCTAGCTGTAAGAAAGTCAATAGAAATTTACCTGCGTGAATGATCCATCCTCACTGCATTCTGGGATGAAGACTGCTTCCTGGGGCTTCTTTGCCTGTTCCAGTGCTTGAGCTCTCTCTAATCGACACTTGCTTTGGCCAGCATCTACAAAGATAAAAGCAAAACTCACTTAGGTTGCAAACACCATTTGGCCTCTTTAAAAGCTACCAGATGCACCACACAGCTGTGGGGGGAAACCCAAACAAACAAGTATAACGTATCAAGGACCATTACCTGCACATTAATGAGGAAGCTACGGAGTTAGCACTAATGATCCCAAAGACAACTATGAACCTAGACAATCAAACTAATAGCCAGTTAATGAAAAGCTGCCTAATTTCCTAGGCAATAGTTTTTAATGGTCATCCAAGGGCTCTGGAAGCTTCTTCCAACAAGTGCTGGAGCACAGTGTCCATGCAGTGAAAACTCTTACCAGAGATGTGTTTGTGTTAATATTAACAGCCTGAAACTGGATGGCTGAGCATAAGCCAAGTAATTCAGGCCCAAAAGCCAAGTAATTCAGGCCCAAAAGTGAGCAATGTGGAAGAACGGATGGCCCCAGCAAAACTTCTTCTCTGAGCAGCTCTTCCACCAAGATGCTAAAATAAGCTGTTGAGATCTCAGCTCTGCTCCTGTTTCAGATGATGGCAGCATGTAGCATGACCTTAACCTCTTCCAGGTTCAGCTCACTGTTACAGAGCACAGACCCAGATAATCCTAACACTGATGATTGATAGGTCAAAGAGGAGAGTTCTGCCATGCAGAGATACATATTGACTCAGTGTTTACCTTTAAAAAATTATGTCTACCAGTACTGCTGTGCAGTCTAGAAAGATAGCAAACATTTGTTTCCATGGAATTCTGACACAAGGACTAGCAACCTTCCTTTTCAATGCAGAAATTGCAAAAATTGATCATCAGAATCTTAGAGCAGCACCATATTGATTGATCAAGGTTGAATCCCCCCTCCATTCTACCAGGCGCAGAAATCACACTGGTTAACAAAAAAATTCCATTGGATCCCTGAAGATCCCATGTTCTGCTTCATAGATCATGTGAACTTCAGTAACAGAATCACTAATACCAGCACTGAATTAGAAAGCCAGTCTGGGTTCTCAACTCAACTGAATTCACATCGCATGGCAATAAAAGCAACGTCCATCTAAGCACACCTAGATGCAGAAACCAGCAACAATGCTGTACATAGTCTTGATAAAGACATATACCAAAGCTTTCAAGATAAGTACTTTATTTACACAACTGATGACCCAAGACTAGGTTTCTGGTTTACCAACACAGTTTTATTGTAAATATACCACACTACTTCCCCCTCAGGGAAGGATTTCACAAGTCTTCCGAAATTATGGAAATCTTCTCTTTGGAAAAAGTTACTATTCATAGCAATAGCATTCAGCACAGATGCCTGTAGCTTAGGCCCTGGGTTACAAAGCAAGAGTGCCTATTTCAACTCTGCCAATGACCCACTGAGTGACTACAAGTCAGTCACCTTACCTCCCTATGACCTTGTATCCCTTCTGATCCTACTTCACTAATCTTTAGACTGTTTGTGAGGTGCTTGCACAATACCCTTAGCACATGGAGCTTTGATCTCTGGTGGACGGACGTATTATGAGCTTGTATAAAGAGCAAGACTGTTACTCATACAATGAAAATATTTTCTTGCATAAAATTTACATTGAATTTAGCGAAGCAGCTTTTTTTCCTAATTAGGAAATTCCTTCCCCCCACACCACTTGCCAAAGTGACCAGATGATCGGACCTTGTTTGCACACCTCAACTGGAGGACACAGTCCTGCCAGCAGTACTGACATTTCCAACACATGCTCATCCTTTCAGTGGAAAAGGAAGCACTGGCAATGCTGTTAACTGGAACACCTATCACCTTTAGATCTCCTGTTCAAGCTTAATAGTCTAATCTTGCTTGGCACGATGTAGGACATTATTACAAAAACAGATGGTGTGGCTGCACCTTCTGTTTTTATAGCTAGCTAGCTGACTCAAAACACCTTCAAGTTCTGCTTCATAAGAGACAACTACGTAGCAAAATATCAGCATAGATCATATAGATCTGCACACATAAGGAAAGAAAAAGAGAGAGTTGCAAATTTCTCACGTGACAATCAAAGCAGAGATCCACAAATTAAAGTGTGTTTTCTAGCCTCTCCATCTGAGGATACAAGACTGCAGACAGGCATATCTGGTTCCTCTCCTGAACATGGAAAAGAAGCGTAAAGCATTTCCACACAGCATCTACTTTAGTGCTGGCACACTCACAACTACATGACTGAAACTGGATGCTTCACCACATAAGTGGTAGGAACAAACATTTTGTTGTGTCTCCTGTAGTACATATACATTAGCAGTCCAGGCAGAAGGGAGATTTAACTCAGATCTTCATCCAATTTGTCTAATGAGCAGAACAAACATGCACACAGACAAGCTTTTCCTATAAGGAAAAGATAATATAAACTTGTTACTGTTGAGATGACTATGTCTCTCCTGGCAATTTTAACTGGCGTTTCTAGATGCATTCTGTGCTACCACCCAGTAGACCACACTGTATAGCAAACCACCACTATGTCACAACATTTAAGAGCTCATCATTGTTGCAGCATCCTCTTTTGCAATTCAACCCTTGGCTCAAGTGATATCTCTTCACAAATTGCTGCTGAAGGGCTGAAAAGACAGACTATTTTTCTCCTACTCATAAACACTCAGCCCTGATTACTTCTCTCATCCTCCTTCATTGATCTCCAAAGGTCATGCTAGTCCTTTTACAGCCTTGACTGGGAACAACCACCTATATATCACACTGGCTGGAGAGGTGTGCATGTGTGCCGCTATCGTTGTCTGTCATTGCACAGTTCAGTTCCAGTAAAAACAGTGCCTTTAATATCAACATTTACCAGTTTGTTTTTAAAAGGACTGTCAGTCCTTCTCTTCCTCACTCCACAGGCTGGTATTTTTATAATGTTTGCATCAACATGTGATTTCAGTGGAATGACTTCACCTTGCTATTTTTGCTTTGTTAATTAGAAAATGTAAAATATTACATAAGTGCCAAGTGTTAAAAAGTACCTGTCAAATAGCTCACCCCAAATAAGATGCATTACAAATTTTACTAAAGCCTGCTGTTATGATGTAGATTCATATACCCTATTCTGCATTTTGATTGTTTACCTGAGTGTTTCAGCACTTTCTTCCCTCTTCTTAAAAGTGTTCTCTGGAGTATCAAACACCAAGCTTATAGAACAGAACAGCATTAATACATTCCAGTTTCACAGTCCAGACAGACTAAATAGGACTTTCTCCACTCCCTTACATAAGGTGAAAAACCAAAACAGAAGCACTTTTTTTTAAAAGCAGAGCTGTTTAATAATTGGACTTTAAATATGTTCAAACTTAGGATAGATTTACTGCAGCTCAGAAAGCTGCCTCTTAAAGAAAATTAATTCTCAAGTTGGTAGCTGGCAACTAGAAGATTGTGAACTACAAGTGATGTTTTTGACATCTGTGGCCTAATCTGCAGAATGCAGGTGCACGTAATTTTGGATTTTGCAATGAAGTTGGCTAGCTCCCATGGTTGATCTTATCTGAGAACAGTTTATTCAAATGAGACCACCATGTCCCTCATAATACACACAGTACACTCCGGAACAGGTCCCAAGAATTCCAGCATCCTCTCTTCAACAGGCAGAGGCAGTTTTGGTACTGCACAACATCATAGTGACCAAGCAATCCTAATAATACAAAGTAAAACATCTCCAGGCATCCACATAACACTAGCAGCAAATATATAAAATGCAACTACAAAACTCTAGCTATTTAATTTTAATTCTACTTTGTTTTTATCAAGAGCTCAAAGGGCAAAAATTGATCCAACCAGCTTTTGAACTATTTTAGTTCCATTAGGTAACTGTCTCACATACAGGCCAGGTCCCCATCAGGCATGAAGCAGTCCAGCTACACTGAAGTCAGCAAATTCATACCCAATGATCTTTGCATAAAACATGCAAAAATGGAAACTGAGCAAACTACAAAAACATGCCCATCTGTCCCACGGGGTGTCAATCATTCTCCACTCTCCCCATTATTTTCCACTTCATTTCTGACAAGTCTTACACCTGGAATCTCCAACCTCTTTCCTTTCATGCTGACATACTTTGCTCCTTCTTTGATACTCACATACCATTTCTACCTCAGAGTTCCCTAACTTATTTGGAGCATAGCTAAAAACATGTCTAAATTTGCAATGCAATTGGAAGTGTCATTTCATATTTTATTGACTAACTGCTACCAATAATGGATCCATTTTATTCTCCCTTGACTAGTAATAAGAAAGTTCAAAGACAATACACATGGATCTAGCAAGTGCACAAGAAAAAAAAAAGAGTTATTTCAAAATATAATCTCCTGTCCAACAAGAATAGTAGGTAGAGAAGACAGATTACCTTCAAACAATTCAACAATAGTCAGAAGGAGACCTTCTTTTCCAGCACATTAGCCAAATATGTTCATCCAGGTATCCTAGGAGATGGGCTGAAGACCCCTGTTACAATTCCCACCAGTAAATTATAGACAGGTTCTTTCTACATAGTGACTTGTGATCTAAAAGCAAGCTCTATACCAGAAGAGACTTTCAAAACCAACCATTACATATCTAAAAGGAGGTTTTTAGAACACTCCTGCCCCACCCCCCCCTTTTTTTCCCCCTCAATTAAATAGGCCAAATAAGTTCCTGGAAACCAACCAGTTAACATAGAACTTTAGTGTGTTTTAAGCCACAGGTGTCCGATATACCCTAACAATCACTGCATAATTTTGACAGCTTACCAAGACTCATTTAACAAATACTTGTCCTTCATCCCTGCAAAGTTTTGAGGCATAACTCTTACTTGACATCAGAATTTAAGACGCCTCCTGACAAAAGATCCAGGTTGGAGTACTTGGCTCTGTATTTTACAGCTATGCCATCTGGAACCATTCTCTGGAATCTCATCAATGAGGCTCCATTTGTCATGGATGCCATTGTTTGATCATTTTAAGCTACTCCTGACTTTTAACCCTTTGTGATGTCCGAGTGAGGGTTCGGAGGGAGTTCAGATAGTTTAGCACTGAAGGAATTTCATTGAAAAGCACGTGAGGAACCTAGCAATGAGCAGGAGCTGAATAAGAATTATAGTTCCCAAAGGGCTGGCAAGATTTCATCTTTAAAGGTCCTCAGCTGCTTGAGAAACAGCAGAGAGCTAATCTGAATCAAAAAGATTCTGTTCTCACTATGGCAACTATTCTGCTTGCCTTGGCACAAGTACAGTTCAAGTTATCGGCATATGAAATTGCACAACTACACCTTGCTGTCCACAGTATAGGGGGGGGTGTGGGGGGGGGAGGGTTGCCCCCTCAGAGAAGGAAGCACAAGTTAAAATTGCTCATTTCATAAGGATAAGTTATTGGATACAGTATCTATCACAATTACATGTGACTGGGCTCAATGGCCCTTTGGAATCTCTTCTAGTTCTATGGTAGTTCCCCTGCAGAGCATCTCTGTCATGAAGAAAGAATGAATGCAGGGTAAACCTGGTGCTCTACTGCAGTAGCAGAAGGTGCTCAGACACTGCAGGCTACATCTTCCTTTGTGCAAGTACAAGATACAGACCTGGCCAACTGCCTGTAGCTAGGCACACCTGTCTTGCACCTGTATTTGCCAAGAACAGTGATCTTTATGTATGACTAGGTCATGTTCCTAACATGACTAGAAAAATCAAAATACTTTTCAATAGCAGCACACATGGAAATTACCATCAAGGTTAAATTTGCATGTGATAGTTATAACAATATGCCTACTTCCCAGGGATTCATGAGAGTGTTAGTGGGTTAAAAGCAAGGCTTGCAGCTGTCAAACACTCCTAGATTATTAGGTACTGTATATTACCACAGGGTAAGGGGAAAAAGGAAAGGAGAACACAAGCAGTTTCAGCTAAACATTTCAGCTGTGTCAGAGAACAGAAAGGAAAGTATACTTCACCCATGCTTAAGACAAAAAAAGTCTTCTGTTACTTCTTTGGGACTCTCTGCAATCACAGTATACAGTGGGCTGTGTAATTTGGCAGTCAACATTTTCTCCACTTCCAGACACTTTTGTATATGGATGTACTGCATTTCCGATCCTATGTTTTAAGTGACTGAACACCGCCAGTTTATGTGCCAATATCAGCCGCAGAGTTGTTTATCTAAGCTGCTCTGCTCGAGTGATGAAAGCAAAAGAAAGACTCCCACCCTACTGTTTATTGCGATACTCAAAAACACATCACCTGCAAGAAGAGTTCAACCACTTCTTGGGCCCTGGGAAGAAAGCTTCTGGGTTTCCAGTACTCCAGAAAGCAGCATGATTCAAAGACTTTTTCTATGCTATGGGAGAGAAGCTGCCATAAAGCAAGCCAGCACTGGGGGAAATCATACAAGTAAGCTTTTTTCCCAAGTGAGAAACTGTTTAAAAGACATGCGCATAATTCATCTAAACTATAAAGCTCATCAATACATTGAAAAGGGATTTCCATTTTAGAACAAGTAACTCTGCCAAAGATTTTTACAATAGTAAAAAAGCCTTCATAAACAAAAGTCAGGCTTAAATGCATCCTTCCACGGGGATTTTAATGAGTTTTGCCTGTCATTTCAGCCAGTTGCTAAAAACATCTGTGCCATCTGCCCTCTGAGTAAGTTGTGCTTTCAGGAAACACACTCAACTTGATTTTTCACTTCACTGCAGAAGCAAACTATTTGTGTGACAAGACACCAATATTCCTTAAAAGAGTTAAAACTTCATCTTTAGACTATACTGAAGAAGGGTTTAATTGAGAAACAGTATTCTCACTTTTAACTATGTATATAACAGCAAACAGGCAAAAAAGAGGCCATGTAAAACCTTGCCTGCATTCTGTCTTCTTAACTAGCTCAGCACAGAAAGGCTGTGTATGTCTGAAAAGGGACTTGACATCTAATATGCACAGCACATTCTTCCCCACTCCACATTCCTATCACTCAAAGGCATCTCAGTTTCTCATCAACACAGGTAGCAAGGAAGATCTCTTCTTTCAGGATTTGATTTTGCATTTCTGTTGGGCCAGCTCCTTCTGCTCTGCAGACACATATTTTGGCCCCTTTTCAAGTGATGTCTCTGGCTCCCTTGCCTTCTTTCATTGATAATTCCGTTGGCTCTTACTCCTGTCACCTAAACCCAGACTCAGATAACCATGCTCACTTGAATGCACAGTTTCAATCAGATTATTCACAGATCACAGTACTAAACTCAAAGATCTAAAAATCCAGGTTTTTTATGAGGTAGAACTGCCATTCCTCCCCTCAAAGGCATTTGAAATCCACCTACCTTTGCATCGGCCACGATGGGTCACGCTCAAACTTGACTCCCGGCATTTGGCTCTCTGGTAGTCACACATTGACTCATATGTTCTGCCATCAGAAGCACAGAGGGGTTTGGACTGGGACCTGGAGCAATGCAGGTTACACTGAGGGTCTCTGTCACGGTCGCTTATTAAAAACTGAAGAAAGTGAAAAAAGGAAGGAGGGAGAAAAAAATAAAATACTGGTTTTGTTTAGTTTTCCAAAACAAAGCATGGTGAATTTTGGTTTTATGACAATAACAATATGGTCTACAATGCAATTTAAGCTGCCTACCCAAGGTGACTTTGCCTGAAGGGAACTTAAAATTAAACACGTACATCTTAAAAAAAAAAAAAAAAAAAAAAGCAGGGGGGTGGTCTTTGCCATTCCATTTTCTTTAACAGAACGGAAACATTACTCACTCTGCCTCACCTCTGAAAACACAAGATGTGCAAAGCCAAACACAACCCACACGGGAAGGGCAATACTGAGTCACAACAGCCCAGCTTGCCTAGCACCCTGCCACAAACAGTATCTGGTGCTAGGCAATTTTGGTCAGAGGTGCAAGAAACTTATCACTGAGGATGGAGGAAACCAAATAACCTATCAAGATTGGCCTTGGTAGTTGAACCATGGATGTGGCCAGCTTTATATCACCAGTTACTTGTTTTTAAAGCCTTACTTATGTCATCAATGGATACCACCTGCAACAGCATACCTGTACACTCCCAAAGCCACATTTTGTTCCTTCCCAATGACATTCTGCCCAGCTGGAAATTGCATTCCATCCATCCCACAATTAATTGCACACAATGTGAAAAGCTATTTCCTTTCAGAAGTCCGAATTGGTCATCTTTCCAAATACCTCTTCTTCTTGAGCATTCAGTTCAGGTGCAGTCTGTTTTGTATAAACATGGCACTCCCTTCTTGTTAGTCTCAACACGAACAATCTGAGTCTCCCAATTCTTCATACAGACTTCCTCTGAACCATGATCACTGCTGCTTGCCTTCTCTGAAGACAGCTTGCCTTTTGGTTTATCTTTTGGAGATTGGGAAACCCACAATGCACATTAATGAGTCCCCATTTTCCATCTGCTTGTTCCCTGAAAATCCCAACATCTGGCAGTAGTTTACTGTTGTACCCTCAGCTGTGCTTTGAGCTGCCTATAGATACACCCAGGTCTCTTTCCGAGTCTGACTGACTAACTAAGCAGGGTAGATGGGAAAGTGACAAGGGTTACTACTGTCCTGTCCTGGTGAAACTCTTCTGATGGTTACAGAAAGAAGACTGACATTTGGGGTCCTCAGAAAGACAGTATGAACTTGAGAAAGAGACCTGGGTATATCTATATCCAAACCCAACCATCTGCTCACAGGAAGATTTCAGGGGACTCTTGAAACAGGTCCCATGAGGATTAAGCAAAGAAAAGGGAAGTTAAACCTGCCTTGCACTTCCCCTTCCCAAGCTCCCATCTCTTAAGCCTCTCTCAAGGCTAGGGGGACCAGACTTGCTCCCTAATACAGCAATAACCAAGCTCGCTGTCAAAGCAGTTAGCAGCTCAGCAGTTTGGAGCTGACGGGCAAGCGGGCACTGACTGACACGTTGCCTGCACGCACCAAGCCTGGCTCTCCAAGTATGTTGATAGCTGGATGCCTTACAGGGAAGTGTGACTCATTGCCATAATCACCTTGGTGTTACAGTTGCCTACAAAGCTGTCTGCTCTATGCTTTGAGGTTAAAGCTGTTGAAAAAACATCGCCTGAAGCCTAGTTTGGGTTGGTTTCTAACCACTCCAAGAACATGCATCTCTGAAATTTGTTTTTTTTACATTTAAAAAAAAAATTCTTCACCCCCTTTCTCTCCCCAATTAAATGAGATGAAAAACAATTGAGAAGTTGCATATTTTAATATAAAAGCATATTAGCTCTGTACTGCTGGATCTTTTGAAGACTCATGCATTATTAAAATCCTATTTAAACATGACAGCTGGGAAAAGCAAGGTCTGCACTTGTTTTAATTCGGGTGGGGCAAACTTTTTAAAAATCTCATCTGTCAGAGACTTGCCAAAATTTGTAACAGCAGAGTTTTTTAAATGTTTTTGTTCCTTTTCTGCAACACTCTCTATAACGTGGCAACACCTGTTCCAAATGGGAAATTAGACAATTTAAACCTGAAGGCAATTTTAAATGGTTTATAGAGACCTGGACTAGGCTATAAAAACACTGGAAAGGTGGACCAGATTTTTGCCCAGTTCTAGTCAGGGGTTGGACCATTACAAGGTAGGTTGGAATTGCTCTGGCTACAGCAATGTCTTTCTGTACCCCCCAAGGTGCAAAGATCACCAGTGACTGTAAACATACAGCAAAAAGAAGCAGCGTAATGTCAGAGACTCTGAAAGACTCACAAGGCTTTTCAGCTATCTGTATAAACAGACTTTAAAAGCAGATCTGTGATACCACAATATGGTGCACATACAGCAATTAAATACTTAGTTAAACACAGAAGGCATTCTGGTTTAGAAGGAACACATGCATGTGCCTTTTATCACAACTTTGAGGGCTTGAGCCACTGGCATGAAACTTTTTGCAAATTCCTTGTGTCAGAAGTTGAGTTCCACAGATCAGTTATCCAGAGGTGCACCAAAAAAAGCTAGAATACTGTTTCCCATCAAACCATACTACAAACTTACTGAAAACTCAGCTTGTATCATGAAAACTCACCTAAGGCTTCTACAGCTTGTACCAAAATACTTAGTACAAAAGGGCCTTACAGGCCAGAAATGCTTCTCCTTCCAGAAAGGGCAACTCTGAAGAATAGAAAGTCCTTCTCAGGGCTGACAAACAAGCTAAACTTAAGGGTATGGAAGAGCTTCCCTCCAGTGCCTCCTCACAGAGGGATGGGGAAGAACAGCTCAGCACTGATTAATTATGAGGGCCTGAGGAAACATGCAGAGCACACCACTGCAGACTATGAAGTACTTGCCTACTCAAATTAAGCCAAGAACCACGTTATAAAAAAAAAAAAAAAAAAAAAAAAAAAAAAAAAAGAGAGAGAGAGAGAAAAAATCAAAGCCTTTTTAGCATTTGTAATTTGGATTACAGTAGGGAGCCCACACAGCATGTTAGGTGCTTTCCAGACACCAAAGATGCCACACCTACCTTGCCAAAAAAGTTTAGGGTTTACATAGTTGCACAAGATGGTGCTTGTTTTGTTCAACTACATTATAATTGTAAAAGTCTGCCTTAATTTCCAGAAGGATCCAGGATCACACCTGTCTGATCAGGGTTCTTCTCATGTGATCAGACAGCACTGCCAGAAAGATCTCCTGAAGATATTACTGAAGGGCTTCAAAAACTCCCCCTTACAGTAGGACACCTGCTCCACTATAGGTCAGAGCCCTTGTCTTTGCTCAGCAGCTCTGCCAGCTTTCAGGTGGTAAAATGATGATTCTTTGTCCTGTTTCTAGCTGGTAAGCATTCATGCTACAGAAGTGATCATCAACACAGACCACTCAGAGACATTTAACACACAGTTTTGAGCATCCATCCTCTCCTGCCCAGCACAGTTTTCTTTCTAGCATTTTGCCTGTCCAAGAGCACAACTGCCCTCCTTTATAAACAGCCTCAGCCACTTGTAGAAGAAAAACACTGGATAAATGCTGAAATATGTGTCTGCTTGCAGAGAGAGCACTTGAAGCTATATTAACAGCTAGGAATGCAATTCATAAATTACTTGTTCCCAGTACTTCTTTATTCCCACCTGGAGCAAGCAGGCACTCCTCTTCCAAGGAACACAGCTCTGCTCCAAAAGAGCACCTTGGTCACTGCAGGAGATACTGCTGAGCCAGGCAGAGGGCTGGAGAAGCATGCACAGGGTGCCTTGACACCTGACTACTGACCCACCCCAGATACAGCTGAGGCAGTAACAGTTCTCTGGTTCCTTCAAACTAGGGGAAGCATAGCAAGATATTCTGCCTTTAACACCAGCTGTCCTAACGCAACTCTTGAAGCTCAAATCAAAAGCTTGTGATCTTAGCAGCCCCAGGATACCCACACAAGCAGGCTTTGCAAACAACAGAATCAACAGACACAGAGCCATTCTTGGTGCTGTACACACAGACACACAACATGAACAGATATGGACTCGGGAAAAGTAACCCTACAAAAACACATGCAGCACCAGCAGGTTTCCAAGCTTCATATAGAAAGAAAAGGGAAATAATGATCTTAGCTCTGAGATTTCTCAAGCTTCTTTTTGATACTCCTGTTCACATTTGCTTCAACATCTAAAGCAAACAGGACTGAGGATACTGTCACTGGCTTATCAGTCCTTTTCTCTCCTCCTTTTTCCTCCATGAGAGAAAAACTACCAAAAGCAGAGCTAAAAAAAAAAAAAACACCACAAAAAACATACAAAAACTAGCAGGAATAATCTATTTTCTAGGGAAGTGTTAAAATTGACAATTGACAATGTGTTGTAGTGTCAATTAAATTGACTTAAGGTTGACTTATATACTAAATGTTGACTCAATACTAAAATAAGCATAAGTAACACTAGTATTAGACAACAATATTTGTATTTTCATAGCATTTGCTTACATCAAGGGAGCCTGCACAGCTCCTACATCAGTCAGTTTGAGTCCCTGCCCTAAAGAGCTTCCAGTTCAATGCAGCTCTCAGAGCATCTTTTTATGTCAAATGCTGTATCAGGACAGAAACCTCCTGCTTTAACAAATACATTTACACAGGTGCTTGCAGAAACCACTTCCCAAACTACTTTCTGCTTCTTCAGACTTGAAAAGAAAAAGGAAAGATAAGAGGTCAGAATGAAGTTAACTTTGCCAACAAAGCATATCTGTTCTTTTTCTCCACACCTCAACACCACTGCTGACAAACAACAAACACTGATTAAAGGCTTTTTAATGCCTGTGAAGGAAAGCAGACTCCCTGCAGCTGCAGAGCAGCTGGGAACACTTGTGTTATTTAGCAGAGAAAGGTCTGACCCCACAAGTGAAAATGAGCTTGGTGGTCACTCATTCGATTCACCATCTGGGTACATTATAAGCACAAACAGAACAGCACAGCCCTTTTTGAGAAAGGTAACAAGAAATGGCCAAGGCACTTCAGTACCAGGGTAATGTGCTTTAGCAAGGCTTCAGGGGAAAGAGGGAACAAGGGACACAAATGACATGAATGTGAGAAAGCTGAAGACTATTAAGAAACAAATCTACAAGACAAGAGTCCGCTACAGATCAAAACAAAGGTGTCTCCACCAGTTAGCAGCTTCACTTCTGATTAGTACTGCAGGCTGCTGCCTAACAAAACTGAGGAGTAGAGATATTGAGAAAACAGCGCATGCTGCCTTTCTCCTGTTTTGGCAGACCTCAAGTTTGAAGACCCTTAGAATAAATCCTTGGAAAAAGTGATCGATTTAGGTATGTTCATATGGCACAGGTCACTCACTCCTTTGCCAAAGCACTCAGACCAGCCTGTCTTAGTAGAAATGAAGTTCTTTCTGGGGAGAATGCCCCAGGAAAACCATGCTATTTTATACATTAGAGGAGACTATAAACTTCTGGACATTTTTTTTGCTGTTGGAAAGCATCATCTCACATTTCCCAGTTTTAGCCTCACAGATTTATGCCTTGATTTCAGTCTCTAAACTGGTGCAACCAGCCATACTGGAGGCAGAGCTGGAGTCAAGTCCCAGTTCTAATCACGGGTAGACTCTCAGCCCCATGGCAGGTTGCCTATAAGATGCAAGGACTTCAACTTCAACCATGGGTTTAGTACTTCAGCCAAGTTTCCTGCTATGGAACCAGATGCCTAGCAGGCCTCAAAGGCGTCAAAGATCCTGCTCCAAGCCAGAGACCCAAAATGCTTGGCTTCCAGAAATACAAAGAGAAAATCCAAAAGTCTTAGAAACTCTGTCAGAGATGGGACTGTCAGGGCTTGCAGTCTTCCATGTGCAGAAATATATCAACCAGCCAGAACCACCACAACTCCCAAAAGCTGACCAGGGTGCCCACGCAGCCTCAGAACCTAGTGAAAAAAGGCTTTCAAAGGAAGCTTCCTGGGAAGTCTGTCATGTGTTTTGGGGAAGGGGAGGAAGAAATTGATTTATTTTTAATATTCCCTTTTTGTAAATGCTCACAAGCTCGTATTCACTTGCATCTGAACAATTTTGGTTTACAAATATATTTTTAAACCAAAGTTTGTCAAAGTCCTGCATTATTAACAAGTTCCAGTCATCACATGGGTGTTTTCTTGCATCTTACAATTTTATACTAAGACTTAAGGCTTTCCCAACAATTCTAGAAGGCCACAACACTTTTCCCCAGACAAGAGAGACTTACGAGAAGGATATCGTAATACTTTAATTCCTTGAGTCATCCCACCTGCAAAGTGAAGAGTCTAGCCTAAGTTAAAGCACCACTTATGTTTCAACCCCAGGCCCTCAGCTGTGCAAACAAGAATGGGTTCAAAGCACACAGCCTGTGCTTGAGGATGGTAAAAACTGGGCAAACATATGCGATCGCACCACAAAGCCGGCAAGCTGTAGACGTATTTGTATTAATTTAATTCAAGACAGTTTTCTGCCTTTATAGGCTAGAAATCTCTTTTTTTTTTTTTAAAGTGATTATCCCCCCCTCCCCTTTTTTTTTTTTTTTTTTTTTGTAAGCCACTACAGTGAAGGAGAGTGCTTAAGGATTGTGCTTCATCTGCTAGATGACTTCTAGCTAAGAAATAATACTTTGGTTTTCTTTACAAACTGATCTGCAAACATGATACAGCAGCTGTGCTCTGCTTTTAGAAGATGAAGTAGAAGACCCAAAGAATTTGCCTAACAGCATATATGAAGAGCCTACCTATGACAAATGGTTCAGGAGAAACTCTCAGAATCCAACCTCATCCCAAAGCAGTTCTACTGGGTTTCTTTGCGTTTTTGTTTTTAACAGAAAAAGAAAAAGCCATTGCAGTCAGGGAGTAAACTTTTAAAATTACTTTTTTTTTTTTTTTTTGCTTTACAGGTGCAAGTTTATGCAAGTGCTTAACTACAGTTGACTTGCGGGAAGGAAAACGCCAGAGACATCAAGGACAAAAAGTTCATTTCAGATTTTACAATAATACCTTCTTCCACAGAATTTTTATCCATGTGCCTGTATCACCATTACAAAAAGTTACTTTGATTTTATAAACACCAAGTTTGTTTAAGCATCTCATAAGTTGTACCACAGATCAATATACTGATCCACTCAGAGGAGGAAACCAAACCTCTAAAACACAAAATAGAAATTTCATCTCAAGTCTCACATTTCTAACACACAACTTATAAACCTTCTAGTGAGTTTGGCAATATTAAGTTAGAGACTGATTTAATTCCTTTGAAATAACATTACTTCAGCTTCTGTCAAAGCTCACTCTCCTACTTAGATTATTCTTGCAGCCAAGATGACATGCAAGGCTAGAACAAACTTGAGATTAAATTTAATTTGTCAAACACAATGACAAGAAAAGGCATGTTTAACTTGGACTGTTTCTTCTCTATAGCATTGCTACTATACATGTTGCACTAGACAGAAAATCCAGATGTTTGCATAGTCAGAATGAACTACTTCTCCCAAAGAAAACAGCAAAACTTCCATTGACATAAAAGATGGAATCTTGTCTTTAGTAAATTGTATTGTTTAATAACCTGATCCAGTTTTTCTGGTTTAGGGAATACTCTGCTTATTCAGCATAACTCAAAAAGAAACTCAAAACATCCTTCTGTATAACTTATGCCAAGTTAGACTCCTTAGTAACCATATCCCCTACTTTAGTTTGTCATAATGACAGTTGAAGCTGTTTTTCTCCCCTAGCAAATATAGCAGGATTACAACTTTGTGCTGTCACTACAAGGTGAAAAGTCAGCTATTTCATTGTAACAGGATGTTTTCCTCAAAAGAAGCTCTCAGGAAAGCAGAAGGGTTAAAGTAATGTCAGGTGTATACTTTAACAAAGGACAGTATCTCAAGCAAGATTTCTGGGAAGTGTGATCCCTATCCTTATACAAATGCTATCATGTTGAATGCTTTAAACCATTGCACGCATTTTCCATGATCTGGAGCAAAGCCTCTAAGCCCCCATTCTCTTGAATCACGGAGAAGACTGAAGTACATACTTTCTTACTCTCCACTGTATAAACTACTAAAAGTCAGTTCCAGGATTTGTAGAGTTCTGTGCACTCACATGGCAAGTATAGCCATATATAGAAAGTGGCTATGAAAGAATACTTTCTCGAGCCTATTTTCCCCCCTTGTACTACATCTAGTAGGACTGCCCACGCAGTCAGCCTAGGAAAGCTTCTTCCCCGTTTACAAGAGCTTGGAGTACTGCAGACAGAATGGGCAAGCTGTGGGGCTGTCAGCTCTTGAAGTGTTAGAAGATGGAAGTTTCTCTAATTTGATCCAGCTGTGTAACCCACAGTAATCTTCCCCTTCATCTCTGTTTAGATCCTTCCTAATAATTCCACAGGAACCTTTCTGGGGCCTATCACTGCTCAAGAACAACAGTGCAAGGCTCTTCTCTTGAATTTGTCTCAAAATTTCTACTAAAGCAAGTTTGCCAACATTACAGTAATACCTTTCACTATACTGTAATGAACAGTGTAACACTTCTTGTTTCAAAGGGCAGAAGAGTCTTGATATCAAATAAGCCTCTCACTCGAGTCTTTGCTATGTAATATGAGGATACACATTAACTGCACACATGTCTGATCACAAACAAGTTTTGCTGAAGCATTCTTAAATTAATAATGTGACGAAATACAAATTCTCTGTTGTGTTTTCTTCAGTTCCCTGACAGCTATAAAGGGCTTTCCTTTAAATTCAAACCCTTAAAATTCTGGCTTCATCATCTGACATCAACTCATCCAGATCCCCTTCTCTTAAGCACCTTTTCATGCTGTCTTCCTCTCAGGAACTCAAAGCACTTTGCCCTTTCCTTCCACAGTGTTATTGCTGAAAAGCAGGGCACATACTTCAAGTGGAGTCTCCAAGTCAGTTGATAAGCTTTCTAAACATCCCAAACTAGCAAGAAGATTAAAATACACATTTTCTCCACCCATCACTCATTCTCCCCAATAAGACAAAGCCTTCTGTACATGCCAGAGACCACCCACTGCAAGAAGTGGATATCAAGTCTTGACAAAGACAGTTTTAGAAACCTCCTGAACACTACTTCCCGGTTAAGTGTCATCAATTCCCTTTAGCATGCACACAATACACATAAGCACACGCAGAAAAACAGATACAACTGAGCTTACATCAAACCAGATACTCCTTTCCCACTGTCTAGCCTACACCAGTGTCTCACTTCACTCACAGCCACATATATTGGACACTACTGTTGTAAACAAGGTAGGTGTATGAAGAGGACTACCATCTCTAGAGCTGCTCTACTCTGCTGGGAGTCATCACATGAGGAGACATGATGATTAAACATAGTTTACAAACACAGTTTGGCAGCCATATCTTCAGAGTTGAGCTCCAATGGAAATAGAGCTGTACAAAGGCACTCCTTAGACCACAAATGTTTTGTTCTTGTAGATCTTCCAGGATGGAAAATACCACCCATTAAAACTCCATAGCTCAACAAGTTTCAGTCCTTAAATCAATTCTTCTAAAATGGTGAAAGAGTCATTCAAATTGAAGCTGGCATCCAGCCTTCATTAGGGTTGTTGTTACTGCTGCCAACAG